GAGGCAGCACGCTGGGCTGAAGCCCTGTTGCAGTTACCAAGAATCAGTAAGTGTAGCCTGGTCGGCCTTACTCAGAGAGATCTGCTCCCTCAGAAGCTCGCTGGAATAAATAAAGTCCTTTCAACCACACAAGAAGTCAAGGGTAGCAATACTCCTTTTTACTACTGAAAACACAGCCCGAGATTAACACAATGATACTTCCTTGTACAGAAGGAGCCATTCAAAGCCCTTCAACAGAATGGTAAAGTATTGAGAATAGGGTTAAAACTGCCCGTTTGCTGTGTTCTGAAGCACCGTATCCTTGTCAAGAACTCTTCCATACAGTGAGGAAGGGAACAGCACTGGTAGCATTCCTCAAAGTTTACTTCTCTGTTCAAAGATCAAATATTCCTTTCTTCCTTCAGACTAAGGCCTACTACTATTCTAACACCCTCTTTTCTTGTATTAGTTTCTCTTATTGTAATACATCACCACCTGAAGAAGGGGAAAGGACACTTCAGGCCCAGGAGGCAAGGCAGATGATGACATTATACTGACTGGATTGAGCGATGGTATGTTAGGATTCAGAATTAAACTCCGGAATTCATTGTGTCTACGTTGCAAGTCCTTTAGTCTCTTCTGGAGGCGTGTATATTCTTCATAGGAAACATTCTGCCTATGAAATAAGATATTTCTTATTGCTCAAAATATTTAGTATGCCAACATGCAAGCATACCTCTCCATGAGTGCTCTGCTGTATACTATCCCGAAGAAGGAAAACAATATACCAGAAAGAAATTAAGGTGCAAGATCTCTTTCTATTCTTCTGCCTAAATGTCTATCTGAAAGTCCCTCTTCACCTTAAGCTAACTGCTATATTATGGATTAGAATTTATTCAGTAGATGGAATAAATTAAGATTTTAATAGCATGAACAGTAGTGAGCCACACTAAATTAATTACTTGAATCAAGTTCTCCATAGGTGGTTCAATGAAAAGGAAAAAAAAAAAAAAAGGAGCTTGTCCTTCCAAGAGGATGTTAGTCTGTTTCATTTGCAATTCTGAAGTCTTTTTCTTTCCTGTCTTCTACTTATTATCACATACTGTACTTTCAACTCTAACACTGCTTCTCTGTGGCACCTCCTTTTTCACCCATCTTCCTTCTTTTGAAGGGAGCCCTGCACCTATATTTATATTGTCTTCAGATATTCTTCCTCCATTTTCTCCTGAAAAGAGACAGCCCTGCAGTCATCTTATGAATTCTTAGCTGACCACACAAACAAACACAACTATCATAAAGAGACTCCATTCAAAGAAGAACTCTAATACTGAAAATGGCAATAAATTGGACCTCAGTTACTAAACTAAGTGGCATACTTCATATCTGTAAATCTGATCTTGGGCATATATTGTCTTTCAAAGAATATATAAGATAAGAGAAAGTAGTTTATTACCTATTTAACACCTGGTTTTCTTTTTCTAGTTCTTCTATCTTGGCTTCCAAAAGTTCTAGTTTCTCTTGCATCCTCCTGTGTTTATTATCATTGAGAGTCTTTCTCTGTCCAACAAGACATGTCAAATTGAGCCAAGTAATGCTTTGATGTACTAGATCTTGTAAAAGTTAAATCTATATTGCACATGGTTTCAAGTTGTGACTTTTTTTTTTTTTTTAGGATTTTCCATTTTTAAGACGAGGCACTGTATTGTTTGAAGGTTCTGAATCCCATGAGGAGAAACAAAAGAGATGGGAAATGATCCAGAACTGTGACTGAAAGATGCACATCTGTAAGTCATTCATTGGGAAAGTAACTGTATTTTAGAATGACAAAGGTCATTCTTCAAAAAAGATCATGTATAAACACAAGCATTACACAAAAAAGGCATACTTTCTTCTGTGATCCTTTTTTGCTCATGTTAACCTCAGCTCTGAACAACCCTAAAAGCTTAAACGAACCTAGTTGTTCATTTCATAACTTGTATATGCACAATGTATAAAACTGCCAATTAATCTTGAGCTTTTATAAAAAATTAACCAGCTTTTCCTCTCAAGCTATTTCCTAGAAAGCAAGCTTAGGAAAAGACATCCATGAAGGGTACCACATTGCAACACAAAATTGGTGGGGCGTACATAATCAGGAAAAAGGAGACCATCATCTGGCTGGTATCTGAAACATCACCCTTACTAATTAAGGAAGCCCACCTCTTAAATTTAACCGTATATGTACAAGACGACTCACAAAATCTTTGATGACTTTTCAACAAAGCTGTTGGTTGTAACATTCTTTTACGTATCACTTGAATTATTTCAATGCTAATCTTGAAGAACCTGATATATTTTATTATGTATAACAGATTGCAAATAATCCCTTAAAACAATTCTAGCTGCCCAAAATAAAGCTGAACTTTTCATAAGCTGCATCATGCATAAAGGAAGAGTCAACATGCCTTTTTTTGAGCAACAGCAGCTCGACATAGCTTGTTCTTCACTTGGTTATATTTCTCTTCTCTTTCTGTGATACGCTGAGTAAGTTCATGCTTCTCCTCCAGCCATTCGATACGTTTGTATTCTAAAGTCCTTAGAAAAGTCAAGTAAAAAGATTAGAAAGTTATATAGACAAAGCAGCACTTCAGATTAATTTCTTAGGGCTCTTGAAATAGATGTTTCTTTTCACAACTCCTGCCTTAAACATTTGAAGCATCCAATTTAAATTTGATTGTGCTCCAGATGCACCAAATTTGAACCTGTGCATTAACATCATCATTGATTTTGTTCATCTACGAGCAGCAAATCTTGAAAACTGATTCCAATAGCTAGTTTATTGTCGACTGCTTGTTGGGTTGGCATGTTCCCACACAGTCCTGAGAAAAATTCTAAATTCAAATCAAATAATCATCCTGGAACACAATGGCAGACAACTAAAGCTTATGCCAAACATCCGCTGTCAGAAGAACTGACAGCTATCTTCTCTGTTTGGAATATAAGACGTGAAAAATAGGTTGCTGCCATACATGGCCTACTACTCCCTTTGAATTAGAGAAGTACAAACTTGACTAATGTGTGCTCCTGACCAGAATAAACACCAACACAATAGGAAGCTCCCACTGATACGGTTCCTAGCTGAACGCAAACCAAGAGTAACACACGTTATTTCTTTGGAACTTTGCATGCTTAAAAGATCTTAAAATTAGACTGTATTCTTTGCCAGTTCATTGCAAAGAACCCAGTTTCTCTCTTCAGTCTTGTTTGTCTGGGCTACCTGCATTGTGTCTGAGTAAGGAAGAACTACTTACATATTTAAGTATAATCCTGTATAACAGCCATATAATGAGATTCTGTGCAGTTTTTAAGAAATGCTGTCTAGGGACTGGTGCCAGTGCACCTATACCACTCCAGTCTTGGGCTGATGCAGTTCCCCTGCAGGGACTCTGAACACATCGGTGTAAGTTTCTCACCAAACACCCTTTAACCTTCTCTACAGTGGAAGGATTTTAAGGTATCTGCTCTCAAATCAGAACCAGAATCCTGGCCCACTTGGTACACATCACAGCTTTTCTAGCAGAGCCAGTGGGGTTTGTACTTTGCTGTTAACTGTAAATAACTATTACTATGAAGGAACCAAAGAGCTTTTTCTAAAAGCACTGCTTGACATTAGAAGAAATTCAATGGAAATAGGGGTTAAAAATGTCCCAATAGAGACCTAACACTGTTCGTAAAAAGCTTAACAAGTGCCTGCCTGGGCTCATTTCTCATCTCTATCAACCTCATAGTGTGTTTTTAGCCATTTCCTCATTTCAGATTTTTGTTTCCAAGCCTAAGCCAGACACACCCAAGCAGGCAGCTGCCTTGCCTACTCATGGCCCAACTAGCATTATTTTAACTTATCTTAAGCTGTTTATCTTGGGCTTTCTTATCTTTTGGTCCTTATTTCACTTCCTCTTTAAGTTAACCTACAGCTTTGGTGAGGCTTAACTCTTGGAGTTCAAGCTTGTAACAATACTGAACTGAGCAAGGAAGTTGTGCATCGCCCAGAGAGTCAGAAAAAGAACGGAAAGAGGTGCCAAGGCTCCCACTGCAAAAGTAGCGCAGTCTGGGAGGGCTTACCTGTAGGTTGCAAAACTTCTCAATTTCCGCAGTATCAGTCTTGATGTTGGTATGTCCCATTCTCTACATATTTATAAAATGATCTTAGGGGACTGCCAAGCTCCTTTCACTGCCTTCCCCAAGAAAAACTGTTCCTCTCTGGTAAAAGAGCCTATAGCCCATTCACACTATTTTAAAAGGTCCGTGACAGTGAGATTATCTCACTCAGAATATGAAAACACCTTTCTACAATAAATATCCAATGTATTTAACATACTACTAACAACTGAACTTTCTGTGTGATCCCAATGCAATAATCAACCCAAATATTAAACTGAAAAGCAATACTTAGACTAATGATGTCAGTGCAACCAGTTTTACCATAGTAGTAACACTTTGTAGCAAAGTTTAGATGAAAAATGCCATATTACATCTCTTGAAAGTTTTCTATTTGATCTGGGACATGGACTTTCTTAAAAATCCACCACACACACAACAATCCAGTAAAACTTAAACATGTATTCGGGTATTTTGCTATGAAACACTAAATAGTCATTTCAGACTGACAAACGAATATTTAAATTCCAGGAAAGCATTCGTTACTGTACTGGCCCTGAACAATATTTGGTTTCCTTCAGCATTTATTACCATATTTTGATTGTCAAGCTCATACAGTAATGGAAAAACTGGGAAAAAAACATCAATCATTAAATTGATTAGATTTTTAACTTAGTGGAAGCAACTTGAAGATGCTCAAAAAAGCTTTTACTTGCCTCATATCAGCTAAAAGAATCTGGTGAGAGGAAAGAAAAAAATATATATACGTGCATACACAGATTCAGTCCCTGAAACCTTTTCAAAGCATAATACAATGTTTAAACACCTTTCCCCTTTATGCTAGACACTCTTACAAGAACTGTGTGTGAAACTCTGGATCCATTCAAACTTATGGAAGTATGGCATTCACTTCAGTAGAAACAGGATCTCATTTTATAGACACAGCATATTTCATTAGTCAAGAATTATTTGCCACAGACAGGAATGGAAACAAATTCCTATTTTTGAAATTATCACTAGCAAAGCTTTTATATATGCCACATAACAGAGAGTAAAACCATTTTCTACAATTGTCCTATATTTCCTGTTCAGGTCTAATTTCAGACTTTATTTGGAATCTACAATCCACAGTTAGTAATCCACATGAAAGGAATACAGCAATACAAAAAGAAAAAGGATAAGAAAAGAAGAAAAAAATTACTTCTCTGTTTCCAGTTGAGCTTTTTCTGCCTGACTCCTTGCATTTTGACATTCTTGTTTTAACCTTTCTATCATTTCTTTCAGCTTTTGATTGGAATCCAACAAATCATTTTCCGATTGAGCAAGTGAGGCAACTTGGAGCTGCAGATCATGAATTTGCTACAAAGAAATGCAGTTTTTCATTTGAGAAGATACATGAATAATTAACAACTAATTCTGAGATACTGAGATGGAGCAAAATGGAAATACCAACTGTCTGCACTAGGTTTTGATAAGCCTCTGTTATTTGCTCCCTTTCTCCTTACTCGGCAGCTTCTCCACAAGCTTTACAATAAATCACTAGACAAGGAGAAAGTTTTCTATTCTGGTTAAAACGAGAAAGGGAGGCACAAGTCATTAGTCTCTGATACGTTTCCTAGGACCTAAGACATCCTACGTTCTGTACAGCTCTGGGACATAACTAGAGCACCAAACCAGACAGAGTAGCTGAGCTTTGGAGCTACACAGACTCTTCACTCTCATAACGTGCAATGCTGATTCCAGCTGTCTGACAGCTTGGTGGCTGAAACAGTTGGCTTGCAAGAACAAATAACTGTGAAGAGTCTTATAAGTCCACAGTTCACTGTCAGCACACAGAGATGACGACTGTTTCCCTTTCTTTTCTCCCCTCCTACACGTACACTCACAGATGCCCCATCTCCTGATGGAGAAAAAAATATATTGCCTTGAATTTCAAGTGCAAACAGCTTGTGTTGCAGGCTTCTTTGATGCACATCTACATTCCTACCTACTAAATAACAGTATAGGCGAGCAGGAGTCAAGAGAATAAGGCTTTATTTTCAACACTGCCGTCAATTCACTTTGCAATGGAAATATACCTCTTTACCCTAGTTTATGAAACAACTGTTAAGCACTTGAAGAACCTCAGATGAGAGGCGCAGTGTAAATGCAAAGCATTACCAAGAAACAATTTATAAATCTCCATGGCAACTGAATCTCCAGTTAAATAGTGCATAACCGTGTTCAATATACCAGTCTATAAACATCCAGCTTTGAAATCCTTGATACCGACAAAATGCATGGAACAAAAGCTGTAATCCATTTATACAGATCCAGAAAGCATATGTGATTTCTTAACACTTTTGCATTTAAATGTCTGTTGTATACGTATTGTCCCTCAGGAAAAAAAGCCTTACAAATTCAGTCTAATCTTCAAATACTGGATTTGGGAACTGCAAGAAAGATGGAATTTCTCTATAAAACACTACAATGCAATAAACTCTTACCTGTTTTAGATCAGCAGCTTCAGTTTTCTTCTCTTCTAACTCCTCTGTCTGAATAGCTTGCTGTTGAATTTTTAATCTAAAATTGTATACAACATCCTTATTTTTATCTAATTAAAATACAGCTGTTAGAAGCTCAGACAATTCAGTCTGACAATAGAATATATTGCACAAATATTTATCAGTCTTTCCAATTCCTAAACAATGATTTAAAGGTCTATTTTTATTGATAACTAGAATTCATATGGGAGTCAGAAATATGTTGATTTGTTTGCTTTTGGAATATGACTTTCACTATATCATTTGTATGAAGGTCAGTAGGATAAAACGAGCAAAACAACTCCACTGAGTGTTGTAATAACCTACTCAAAGAACTCTCCTATTAGGGTCTTGGTTTGCCAGTTACTGATGTTACTCCACTATGGAAAGAGAAATAGTTTCCACTAATGCTGGGCTATGCCAGTAGCCAACATGGAGACGATTTTATTATCCAGTTATTTCTTTAAATGTTTATGAAAAGCATAAAGTTTTTCTTTCCAACTTCTAAAATTTATTACTTTTTTAAACAGCATATTTTTCTTTTACAGAAGATAATTTTGTTTCATTTACTATAATGAACATCTATGTACCTATAAATAATAATCCTCTATACTGAATACTGTAAAGAAATGAGGAGAAAAAGGTTTGTGAAATTTGTATTAAGGTTAGAAAAGCCACACTACCGCAGTCGCTGAAGTTCCTTTTTGCTAGATTCTTCTGCCAACTGTACAACACGCAGTTTCTCTTCATACTGATCCTTTTCAGATTGCTTCCAAGTATCTTGTTCAACTTTCATCTTCTCTAGATCAGCTAATCTGTTCTCGAGTTCTAACCTGGGATAGCAGTCAATATTTACACAAGAACCATGACAATGACAAGTGCCAAAAAAAGTGTTTAGTTGCTAAGAATATTGAAATAAGTTACTCAGAATAGTCTTCCCCAGCCCTTTTAGAAGTTGAGCAATAAATCAACAAACATACTTTTCATCCTGTAATGCTGCAATTTTTTCAAAAACTTCCTCTTTAGCAGCTTGCACTTTACGAATTAGCTCCCGATCCTTTTCAACTAAAAGCACCTTATGGCGTTCAACAGCTGCTTTAAGAATTTCGTTGTCTGACAACAATCCTGCATTATATGTTAAAAAAAGTTAAAAGTCACTATTGATATCAACCTGATTAAATCCAATACTAAAATAACATTACACACTAATAAAAGGGAGCTGAAATTCACAGTTCATTCATATATATTCCAACACATGTTTTAAAAAAAAAAAAACAAAAAACATAATAGACTAGGCCTTTTTTAGTGTAACAGCAACATTTCAGAAAACTTTTTAAAAGCAACTATTACACTGGAATGACTGTCTACACAGGTTTATTATTTTAACACACACAAATAAACAGCTGATAGTATAAGATTTAAAGTCCAAAGCAATTTCTGCTAAGCAGTTGTGCCTGGATAAAAACGTTCCACCATAGCTATGAAAAGGTTAAGACAGACAATGTATTATTTTCACAGAAGAGGAGATGAAGTTTATGGAAATGAATAACCATCAACTAGTGAAATTGCAGTAACCTGTCTACAGCAAAACTCCCATTTTCATCCACTCAGATCAGATGCAATGGAAAGAGCACCGATAATATTTACATGCAACATCAGTTACAAATTGTGAGGACTGTATTACCATTAAAAGTAAAAAACCTCAAAAAACAACTCCACAAACTTGAGAAAACAATCAGAGTGAGAAATATTACCAAATTAAGCAATTCTGAAAATTGTGACTCAATATGCAGGAACTAAAGATGCAAATGAAAAAAAAACGTAACCAAGGCTTCTGTGCTCACTGGCAAATAGGATTACACTCTATAGCAACAACTCCTGGCTATTTAGCTAATTCAGTGATAAAAACTGAATTCCACCGCAACTTTAAGTTAGCTTTAAGGTAGATGATTTTGTGAAATTTAAAATAAATCTTATTTGCATTTAGTTTCATATTTTATAGGCCCCAACATTTTTAGTTTGCAAGATAGTACAGGTATGTTGCCGATACAGAAATCAACACTTTTTAGATGCTCTCAAGGAACTAAATATTAAAGCAAGTGAACACAAGCAACTGTTCCAGGAAGATGAAGGTACCATTTTGGGATTTTTGGGGGGATATCTGGGCTCATGACACAGACCTACACAGTGATGACAGTCCACTTAAAAGCTGTGTACTGATTTAAATCATCAGCATAGAACTAGTATACTAGCATTATTTTCACTCTGGAAGGTTATTTCAGGTTGCCTATAGGCTCAGCTTTGAATTAGGTAGCCTACACCACTGCCTATTTTCTTCTAAGAATGAGCTAGACCCTATATTTTGTTTCACATGAGCGCCGTACTTGATTGTTGTCAGTTCCATGGATGCAGAATCAGAGTACAAAATAACCACCAAAGTCCTAGATGTGTTAAGGTTACAAGTCAAGTGAAAGACTGTGGAATTTGGCAATTTTTTTTTTTTTTTAAATTAACCTATAAAGTACATGATTTGAAACAGATTATGCTCAAATTGTATCAAAAAAATCACTAATTTACATAACTACAAATTGTTCTATAACTTCTTCTTACCCTAGTCAATCAAATGATACAACAGTTAGATAGCAAAATTAATTTTCAGATCTATCATCTAGACTAGAGGAAGAGGTTAAGATTGCTGGGGGACGTTTGGAGGAAAATTAATTGTAATATTGCTCTAACTGAAAGTTACAAAAGAAACCACTGAAATTAATTGAACATTTTACCATCCATTTCGCTTTGAATCCTGTTTCGCTCTCTTTCTATCTCACTCTTTGTTCTTGCTGCCTCCAGTTTGATATTTGTTACTTCTAATTTATGTAAATGTTTAAGTTCTTCTACCTATAAATTAGAAAATAAAACCAAATCAACTGAAAATAAAAATATATATCAGCAGCTTTACTGTATGTTTTTCATGTGCTACTTCGCTAACAAGAAAAACTGCTAAATAATGGCAGCCTATGCTTATTCTACATATACCTTTTTAAATAATTTTTTCATTCACTGCTTTCCTGAAAAACATTCCAGAATATCCACTCCTGTAAGTCATGTTAAAGACTACTATATAGACTCTGTACCACTAAAGCTTATTGACGTGATCCGATTCCCCAAATCATACTTAGTGCTTCTGTAAGTTTTCATTAATTCCTCAAGTCAGACACTAACAATTCATGAACAAATTGCCGGTCACCTTAAAACGCAAGTTTTGTATATTCCCTGATTAAAAAATAAAAGTAATCAAAGACAATACACATTGCAGGAACGAGGCTGTCTACATTGCAGGAACGAGGCTGTCTGACTATGGACATATTCTCCATACATAAGTAGCCAGTGATTACAAGCTACAGGCTGGAAAGATTATTCTTTTAAAAAGCCTTGGTGATACATGCACATATGCACAGGATTGCCTATGAAAACTGGGTTTCTGAGCAAATACTCCACATTCGATAGAATCAAGCTAGAATAAAGTTAGATGTAATCTCCCTAAAGTGAAATGGAGCAGTGATACGCAAAAACAGAGTATCCGTTATTCCTCCAAGTCATTTCCATTTGATAACTACATACAGCCCCCTCAACATCCTGGAGTGCTACAATACTATCTCAAAATCCAGGTCATCATAGTTTTAAAGTGCATTTTAAATCAAATACTTCTCTACAACTGTGACATGCTCATCAAACTGCCTCATAAAAGCAGTGGCTTTAAGAACATCAAATCATCAAAGACAATTACTGCTTGCATGGAAACTTTCTATAGTTTAGGCATTTCTACATAGTAATTACACGGTCAATGAGAATTAAATACCTAGAGGAAAGCGCTTATAATGAAAATCCATTCACAGTGACAAATCTAATTACAACCTGCTAGCATAGACAAGTGGCAAAAGGTTAAGAATGACACAGTAGCTTATTAAGTAACTACACGGTGGATTTGGTTGCTTAAATATGAAGTTGAGAACACTTCAAGGCCCCCAGCAAAGTTTTAAGGTGGCTTTTTTAAGGTACAAAATCCAGAAGATAAATGTGTATGCTTGTGCTCAGAAATAAGACTGAGCTGGTGCAGAAAAAGTGTGGGGAGAAGCAGTATATAGTAATGAATTTCTACTCTTCCTCCCTTCAAGAAACACCACTGAGTGTTTTAATTTTCTCCTAAGTCTGGAGGCCAGCAGAGAACACCAGTTAATACAACATCAAGACTGTGCTCACCTTGTGTATAATCTAAAAGGTTCCCGATAGAAAAGGTTTAACAAAAAAGGTTTTTTTTAAGATGAAGATAAATAGAAGTTATTATCTACGACTCTTCCTCCTATTTATTATTCATGCTAGACAAGTATGACAGGCTCTATAAACAGGTTTATAATACTGGTATAGTTATATCCTATTCTTATGGTAAGCTAGAACTTTACTGGAAAATTGAAATAGTCCACATTTATAAATTACGAGACCTCAGTACTGACTGTAAAGCCTGTTTTTAATGAATTCTGAGACTGTTAAAGATGAACCATGGAAAAAGTTACAGTATTTTTCCTGTATTATGTGTTTTCTGAGACATATTATGCCAGTATTGACCGTCACACTCATATAGAGTGCATATCAGTGTTATTTTGGAAAGTATATTCAGAAATGCAGGATAGCTTTAAGTCAGTTTAGCAGTTAAAACAATTCTGCGTTCAACTGAATATATAGGACCAAAATTACTGGATTTATGATTAGTCCTGAAATACCTAAAACCTTTCCAGAAGAATGAGAAAACACAGGGGATTAAACTTGCTACCAGTGCTGTACAGAAACATTTCTAACAAGCTACACTGGCATTAGCCCACATAGAACGCTGCACTAAGGCGACTATCCTGCTTCTAATAGAACCTAAATCTCAGCAGGTGATGCCAATGCAGGATGCTTCCTGTAGCTAATGCAGCACATTCAGAGCATACTTTTTACAATCTCCAGAAGCCATATCTTGAATAAATATATACATGTGTTTTTTTCAAGTTCTATTGCACTTTATGAAAGAGTAATGCTCGTTTCCATCGAATAAGGCTATCTTCATGAGTAATGAAAATATGAACGTAAATACATCTCTTCGAGCACTTTTCTGTTTAGAAAAAGCATCTAGAAAATGAAATATAAAGGGCATAACCTCAATCTCTAGAGATATTCTTCGGGATAATGTTTTGCCTGTTAAATCACATATTCTATATCTACCAACTGAAAATGGAAAAAACCTACTTCAAGTCACAGGAGAAAAAATTGTTACTTTATTCTTAATGTAAAATACAAACAGAAAAAAATAACATATGAAAAATGTATTTCAGATATCATAAAAGCACTTACTTTAGCAGCTAAGGAATTTACTTCTCGTTCAGATTTGTGAAGTTTGCTAGTTAAAAGAATGTTTTGCTCATGACTCATCTGCAGTTCCTTCTCAATGCGATCAACCTGTAGTTCAGCTGACTTCTTTTCTGCCTTGAATAAAGAAGGTATTTGTAAGATTTTTGGAGCAGGATATTCATCTGTATGGTTCAACTGATTTGGGCTTCCAGACATTACTGACATCATATATATAGCAAAATGTTTATCTTTGCTGGATAGCGTGTTCCAATAAAGTATTTTACTCAAAAGTAACAATGGGTTTTTCTAACACTGCCTGCACAGAATCCCCCACATCTTCAATTTAAGAGGCAGAGGTAATTGGACTTGCTTAGGAAGCAGCAAGTATTCATATCAGTAAACTGCTGAGATCTAAACACGGGTATGCACTAAGTGGTGCTCATAAAGATAGCATATGTTGGCCTATGCAGTTATACTAACTGAAGAGTTAACTTCATGGAGAGGTAATAAAATATAATTACTGCTAATATTAGAGACTCAAGACCCAGAGCTTTAGTACAGTACCAAAGATCTGAATTTGGCTCTTTCATGACTCCTAACGTAATTGTAATTTGTTTTTAAATCTGAAATCGCAGCATTTGCGATTTTGTCTTCTCTTGTGGAATTGATGGCAAAATTACCAGTGATTTCAGTGACGGCTTCATCAGGCCAAGTATTACTCTCACTAGGCTCTACATGGAAACAAAGGAAAAAAGAAAAAGAAAACAATCTTACCTCTAGAGACCTTGCCAAAGTCTGCATCTCAGCTAACTGTCGTACTTGTACTCTTTGAATATTTTCTGCTTGTACACCACAGTTTTCTCTTTCTGCTCTTAGTTCTGCTACTTCTGCTTCTAAGCCTTTTAACTTCTGATGTAGTTGTGCCTTTTCTCTGGAGAGTACCTCCACGCGTTTACTGTCCCTTGTCGGATCAATGCTAAGCAGCTGATTATGGAGTTCTTCTTTATCTTTATCCAGCCGTGTTATCTGATAGTTTTAAATCAGAAAGTATAAACCTCAACGTTAGTTAGCTGTCAGACAGCAACAAATACAGTAGCTGAGCATTCTGGAAAGAACAGCAATGTGCATTTCAAAAATAAGAAAGAAATTATATTTGTGTTTGTTTTCTTTCTTAGAATAGGATAATCAAAAAGCCCATTACTTAATGCCTTTTTTGCCTCAGTTTTCACTGATGAGGCTTGTCCTCAGGCCTCCCAGGTCTCTGAACCTCCTGGCAGAGTCTGTGGAAGTGAAGCACTACCCATAGTAAAGGAAGAAAGAGCTAGGGATCATTCAACCCACTTGGACATACACAAGTTTATGGGACCAGATGGAAGGATATTGAAGAAGCTGGGTGATGCTACTCAAAAGATGATAGAGAACAGCCTCGCAAAGGTAATGACAGGCAGGGAAGGTTCCTGATGACTGGAAAAAAGGCAGACATCACAGCTATCATCAAGAAGGGCAAAAAGGTCAAGGAGGATCCAGGTAACTACAGGCCAGCCAGCTTCACCTCAGTCCCTGGCAAGTCCTCCTAGGAGCCATTTCTAAATACAAGACAGACAAGAATGTGATTGGAAGTAGGGTTTACCCAGGGAAAATCATGCCTGTCCCCACTTCTCTGCTTTCTAGTACAAAGTGACTGGTGCTGCGGACAAGGAGAGGGCAGTGGATGTTGTATACTTTGACTTTAGCAAAGTCTCAGTCTCCCAATGGTCTCCTTATTATCAAATTGATGAGATATGGGCTGGATAAGTGGATGCTAAATGGGCAGAAACTTGGCTGGACTGTCAGGCTCAAAGAGTTGTGATCATTTGTGCAAAGTCATGCTGATGGCCTGTGAATAGCAGGGTCCCTCAGAGATCAGTACCGGCTCCAATACTGTTTGATGTCTTCATTAATGACCTGGAGGACAGGATGGAATGCACTCTCAGGAAGTTGGTGGATGACATCAAATTGACGGGAATAGTCAACATGTTGGAGGGCAGAGCTGCTATTCAGAGGGATCTAGACAGTCTGGACAAATGGGCTGACCGGAACCTCTCGACTTTCAATGAGAGCAAGTACAATGTCGTGCCTCTGGGATGGAGTAACCCAACGCAACAATACCAGCTGGGCCCGCTGTCTAGGAAGCGGCTCCATAGAAAAGGATCTGCGTGGGGTCCTAGCAGACGACAAGCTGAATATGAATCAGCAGTGTGCCCTGCAGCAAAAAGGCCAACTGCATCCTGGCTTGCATTGGCAGGAACATAGCCAGCAGGTCCAGGGAAGTGACCCTTCCCCTCTCTTCAGCACTTGTAAGATGACATCTGGAGTACTAAGTCCAGTAAACAAAGGATATTGACACACTGGAGCAAGCCCAGCAGAGGGCCACCAAAATGGTCAGGGGGTTGGAGAGCATGATGTATGAGGACAACCTGAGAGAACTGGGCCTGTCCAGCTTGGAGAAGAGAAGGCTCAGGGGAGACCTTTCTGCTGTTTACAACTACATGTTCAGAAGATACAGAGAAGATGGATCTAGACTCTTCTCAGAGGTGCATAGTGATAGGGAGAGAGGCAACCGACGCAATTTGGAACACGGAACGTGCCAATTAGATATTAGGATTTTTTTTTTTTTAAACCTTGAGAGTAGTTAAATACTGGAACAGGTTGCCTAGAAAGACTGTTGAATTTCCATTCTTGGAGATATTCAACATTTTACTGGACATGGCTCTGAGCAACCTCATCTAATTAGACCTCTTTTGAGCAGAGTGTTGCACTAGACGTATGAAGGTCCCTTCCAACCTAAATTGGGATTCTACAGTTCTACAATTACAATAGTACTCAAACTTGACAGTAGCTCAAGGATAGCTAATGTGATTTGACCCTATCAGACAAAAAACAAAGCAAAAAAAAACCCCTGCTGTTACAAGTTAGTACAATAAGCATGAACTAATCTTGAGATTGTAACTAAAGAACATATTCTAAATATACAGTTCCCAGTGTTTCAAAATAAGTTACATGGACTGAATATAAGGTGAGGATTGGGGGCAAAAGAGTGAGAAAGCAAGGTGTGAGATTCAGTTCTCTTGATATTTGGAAACTATATTCCAAACTCTGATTTGCAGTACTGTGCTTTTAAAAGTTGCCTCAATGACCTCTACAGAGAAAAGCCAAATTCTGTAGCAGAATCCCTCCAAATCCCTTTTATAAGGAGATCCAAGACTTATTGCATGACGTGCTCAAACCATCACTTAGGAATTATGATGTTTTTGTAGCTCCCTGGGCCAAATGGCGAGGGAGGTTAAGAAGGCTGCAAAAGTTTTAGCATTTCTCATATCCAGATGTGGCTCTGAAAGAGAGGAACTAGGACACACTGTGCCCTGGGCTCAAGGTAATCTCATTCTCTGCAACTGTGCTAGTCAGTTGCAGAATGAGCACAAATCCAACAAGCCCACAAGAGAGGCAGGCTGTAAAGCAGCACCTGGGGTTAACTCTGGGAAGGAGGACTGTGCTGTTTTCAATGTGTTACATTTGTGAATTTGGATTGATTTTGAAAGCGATGATTGCCTTTGATTTGTGTCTCATGTTTGGACTAATATATTCAAATCTGGCATCTTGGGACGTGCTCAGAGACAAGTACTTAAATCAAACATGCAAATGATATATGCAACTCTCATTTTCACCTTTGCCTATATTTAAAACATACATAAGCTGGCAATTTATTTAGCCATACTTTTGAAAGTCCAATTCTGAAACAAAAAAAATTTATGAATGATTTATCCAGAGGTTAGTATAACTTAAAAATAGTTACCAAAGTTTTTACCAGCCTTTTGACCACTCCTGTCACAATCCAACTTAATTTCAAAATTTACCCTTGTCTAGCATTAAGAATATCTTCTGCTGCCTCCCTGTTACTTAGTTGCCACATAAGTAACTTAAAATTTAAATTTACATCGGTTGCTCAGATACCCTATTAATTTCAGATTAGGGTGATATCTCAAATTCTACCTCAAATGTGATTTTAAAAAAGCATTTAAGCAAAGCTACTGGCTGTCATTTATCAGAAAGCAAGCCTATTCTTACTTATAACAGTACAAATGATATTACAGCACATCACTGAACAAACCTACAGAGACAGCTTTAGGATAAGTCATAAAAGCGTTTTGAGAATTAAGAGAACAAACACTACATTACGAAATTATGTCAAACTGACACTCACCAAAGTACCAACATTTTCACAGGGTTCAAGTGACTTTGTCATCAGATACACTTTAAGCTACTGTAGCACTCCACATACCTCAGCCTCATATTTTATTTTCTTCTCCTCCAAAATACGGGCATGTTCATCCTTTTGATGTTCAAATTCTGATTTTAGAAAGGTATGTTCGTAACGAAGTTTGTTATACTCTGTTCTATATTTTTCCACTTCCTAAGTTAGACAATAAAAAAAATAAACTCAGTCAGAGAAGGATTCAGATTTATTTCCTTCAAACGTCCATTCAGTGTGCCTATCATTTTAGAAGTTATACTTATTGAACTGAATCCATCTTTCTCCATTTTCTAGGGTGTCAACCTTCACTGTCTGGAGCAACAGCAGTGATCAGTGCTAGATGAGGAATGTCATACTTTGCTTCTCTTGCCAACTTTTTAATTTCCTAATGTTCCTATTGTGAGGAACAATCATAAATTGGTGGTTCCTACTCTAAATTAAACAAAATTAAATACTTATTACTTACATTTTCTAGCTTCTTAATACGTTCCTTCATAGGAGATTCCAGTTCCTGCTGCATTTGTGCTCTTACCAATTCTAATTTTTGAGGAGTTAGCACCTTAAAACAAAAAGCTATAAGTAACTAGTCATATTCATCTATTTTTACTAGGATATACCAAACAGTTAGCAATAAAATATTTCAAGTATGATTTTAGGAATCCTGTTGAATTTTCCATGTCTTTGTAAAAAAACGTTCAGTGATAGTTACAGAAGGAAACAAACATGATATTAGCTAACTAAACACATTCCAACACAATAAAAGAAGCATTTAGAATGTCACATTTTACTGACAGAAGTAACAAAGATGTTGAGGTAAATTGCCAAGAAATTTGCCTGGAGGAGAGGAGGAGAGGAGAAGAGGAGGAGAGGAGGAGAGTCATAAAAAATAGAGCATTATTGTCTGGAAAAGCTTTCCAAAGAGAAAATGACCCAATCCCACTTAGTCAAAATGAATAATACCAAACCAATTCCTTGCAAAACATATTGTTTACAGCCCATAAGAAACAAAGGATATCTCAGTATAGTCTATCACAAGCATATGTGAGGTCATACATGCAAAACAGTACTAACAGATACATGGTTCCTGGTTTGAAATGAAACTGAGATCAGAAAAGATTTCCCAACTTAATGTCAATACTACCTAGTATTTTGGTAAGAGTTGTCTTGTGTACAGTCAATAACAGCAAACTAACTACCAAGAAAAAGAGTTTAATAAATAAAGAAAGATAGGCACACATCCACAACCTGTGACAGTTTCTACTTTATTCTACTTCTCTTTCACTCTTCCGTACCCCTAAAGTCTCTAAAGACTAATTCTAGTTACAGCACAGAGGCACCTCTCCTCCATTCAGAGTCTAGGGACCTCCTCCATTCATCTGGAGATGCTTTATTAGATGTTGCATTTGCTCCCTACGAACACTAGTTTATACAAAAGACTTCTAACATCTTAGAACACAGTCCAGCAAGCAACCTACAAGCTGGGTTGTTCAGTCAGTAACAGAATCACCACAGACTTTCCAGTATTGAAAAGCTGATGATATCCAACGTACTTGAGTAAACATCAACAGCTGTGAAAGATAAGGAGTCCCTTAAAGAGAACATTGCGTAGTTCTTTTGATTATAGAATAATAATTTCAAAACTTCACCTTTAGCAGATCAACAGGCAGGAAACTGGCAAATAAATCTGAAAAATGAATGCGCGCTTATTTTTAACCTAGTCACTGAAAAGCTGCTACTAGTTTTATCCAAAGTCTGAGGAAGTAAATAAATTCCCTGAGTGATAGCAATGTTAGTATCTCAAAAGATTTACAGGATTAGAGAAGTCATTCTCTCTAGAGAAGTCATTTATGAGTGGAACTCATTTCACCTAAATCTAGACACCTAAATCTAAACTAGTCACCCTCAGATCGCTCAGCAGACAATCATAGCTATGTCCTGCATTAGTTTAAAGAAACAAGCAATTATAGAAAATGTCACCCAAGTCATCTTAAACACTTTTAAAAAAAAAAAAAAAGATGAGAAGAATTGCCATCATGAAGAGAAACCAGTATCTAGTTCTCCGTTCACTCATGATAACAGATTTAGGCATCTAAGCTTATCCACTAGGACAGATGATTCTTCCTGTTATAGGAGAGAGCACTGACAGAGCTTTTCTTCAGAGACTGAGAATCTGACTATTAATGCAGCACACAACAGGATATGGGAGACCAGTTAAACAAGAAAAAAAGAGAATTTCATCCCAAAGTCACTCCAGAGAAGAAACACTATTCAGGTTGGGTGGATTTCAAGATATCTGAAATAGATTCAAGCTAAATATATGCATGTTAAATAAACAGAAATATAAACATGGCCCTATTACAGCATTAAAATTCATATTAAGCTCTGCCAATCACATATTTCACCTGCATCTTCAGTTCTTCCAGTTCTTGTGTTTTACCCAGCAACTCTTCTTGATATTCAGCAAGGAGAAACTGAAATTTGTCATGTACAGTTTGCTTTTCAACTAACAACCGTTTCAGTTCATCTTGTGATTTTGTATATTCCTCCTGTAACCTGCAAGACAAAGTACAAGCTTATTTTATATTTACACTCTGAAAGCAGACCTTAATGCTCAAAAAACTCTGGTACAGAAGCAAAAATAAGATCATTAAGTTAGAACTAAGCTTTTAAATATCATCTTGTTGTAACACATTGAAAAGTTACACCATATTTTCAAACATATCAAGTCTTTTGGAAACATTACCTAATACGCATTGTGGTATTTTGAATTGTTTATTTTCTAAAATGAACAACACTCAAATCTCTCCTTAAATACAGAAATAGCACATACACATAAAAAAAAACACTTCCGCATAACATTTAGCTTTACCTCTTAACAGCTAAAATGAAGAAACCTGTTTTAATTAGCGTACCTTATATGTTCTGCTTTTATAGTTTGATAATTTGCTTTATGGTGCTCACATCGCATTTTTTCATCAATCAGAAGTTTTTGTAACTCTTGTGAACTAGCGGTATCACCATTTCCAACCATGGGAGGAAGGAGGCCACCAAAGGTATCCATTCTACGATGACTGTTCACAGTGATTATTAACAGTGCAAGATAAAAATTAATTTATAACAAATCTATAACAACATCCACTTCTTTCTGCTGATGACATCCCAGAAGATCAAGTCACCTGACACAAACACAAGGACATGTAGTTAGTAACCAAATATATTCACAACATATTTGTGAATGTATTTGTGAAGACTTAAAATACTGCTTTTGCTTCCAGCACAGAAAAGCCCTCCCTCTGCTGTAACTCCTAGGAACTTCCTACTGAAAAGGCAACTCTTCTCCGTTCATTCTGCCTGCCCTGAGATTTGATAGCCCTCCCAGGGCCACAGGATAAATTTAATAAAAGAGATTATTTGAGTCAATACAAAATAAACACAAGCACCTCAAACTGACAGATACATCAAAAGTAAATACAACAGCTCATGTACACTGAGAATCAAACTGTGACACTAATTATGTCCATTTAACAAGGGTTCAAACAGAGGCCACAACCTCAGAAATACAGTTTTTACTACTACTTATCACAGTTACTGCACGCTTCACTATCCTAATAAGTTGTTCTGCTCAGTATACCACCCGTTCAGCTGGAAGAACGGCAGATAATTCTCATTGATTAATTCCTGTCAAACCATTTCTGGAGGAGAGTCAAGTTTTCATGAGCAGGTTTCTGCCATGCTGCCCAAAGTTCAGCTGTGAAATACACCACTGACACATGTCATTTCCTCATTTTCAAAGTTTATCTGGTAGTTTCTTGTGCTCCTTCCAGAAAGAGTTTTACTAAATGTGACTGTCTTTGATGAGAAAGCTGCAGATCACCAGATGCTGAGAAAAGGGGAAGTATCATAATATGCCTGTTCAGTTCTTTCCAATATTAGAAGCAAGATACTGTGCTAGACTCATTGTTAGTGACTCTTCCAAAGGATGTGCAGGAAAGAGGCTTGTAAGCAAATTTTAGGGAAGTTATAAAGCTTTGAAACTGACCACTCTGCCATTTTACCTTTTGGCCCAACTGGACTGATGACCAAGAACTGAAATAGTAGTAAATTTAAAATCCCCAAGCATCACTGCAAATACCGCACCTTCTTCATATTTCACTGTTTATTAAAATCTTTCACGGACCTGTCTTAAACACTTGAAATTTGATTCTGTAAACTTCTGAGCTACAAGCAAGATCAAAATGCATCTTCCATATAGGGAAAAAAACCACTGCATGTTAGTACCTATTTCACCAAATGACATAGTAACATCAAGAAAATCTTATGTTTCAATTTCTTTCCTGTGTTTTCTTCCACCCTCACTAAGATGGGAAAAGGTCAGAGGAAAATCCACCAGTGTAAGCAACTGTTACAATAATAGAATAGGCAAAGTGATAGCAGCAACTTCTTTTTATTCTGCTTTATCCACATTTTCTGGGAGGAGAAGGAAGAAGAAATCAGAATAATGAACATTCTCCTCAGTGACTGTCCTATATGTGTATGCAATTTTGAGCATTAATCCCTCTATAGAACAAATCCTGAAGAACTTTCTAATCAATATAGCATCTATTTTTCATCCTTGACTTTTGTTTGTTTTTGAGAAACAAAGGACAACAGCAATTTCCAAAGTCAGGATTGTTATATTTTCAATTGCTAAACCAACAGCTGTATGAGGAAAAGTGGCCAGTGATCCTAAGTACATAAACTATGTGGGACAACAGAAAAGTTCTAGGATACAGAGAAAACCCAGGCAGCACATACCTAAGAATTTCTAAGCATACAGAAAGGGGATTATCCTGATCACTGTCAAAAAAATGAGCCACAGTATTTTCTCTGTCTCAGATCTTTGCTTTCATAAACTCCAAATACCAAATTTAAATACCAAATTCTAAGCTAAATTCAGAATCAGGAAGAGAGGATTTAAAGTTGGGTCTGAATTCTCTTAGCTTACGTGAGCAAGAAGTACTTCTGAAGTAGCATTAATATACACAAAATCAAAGACATTAAAAAAAAAAAAAAGAGAGCTTTCTGAAAACATAAGAACCAAACGAAAAAGCTAAATGGAAGAGCAGAAATGCAGCCTTCTGTAGTCTCAGTTCCAAACTGATACAGGTGGGAAATACTCACTTGCCTGACAACTTTTGCTGCTATCAAAAAGTCCACAGATTGTAAAACATGCAAATGAGTACATGACAGGATGTGCATCTTGAAGATTTCATGAAAAAGAAAAAAGGAAAGAGTAGGAAGAAAACTGTAGCCCACAAAACAACCGTTTCACCCTTTAAAAACCAAAGCGGTGCGTAGCTAAGGAAATAAAACTGTTTTGGCTTATAGGGACATCTTGTGGCAAACTTCATGATCTGCACTCCCAGTAACAAATGTGAGACCAAGTACAAAATCAAAGATTTCATCACTTTACTAGCTCTCCTTCCTTGAATCTACCACCAGCAACATATTTGACATACTCACATTCTTATAAATAAAAAAAAAGATTTTTTTCCATCAAATTCACAAGCTTCATTTTCAAAACATAAAATAATTCCTGCTAGTGAGCTGTGAATATTTAATACCATTTCAGGGCGACACAAAGCATAAGTATAAAACCAACAAGTTAAGAATCTCTTCTGTGCTAATAGCCTACAACACTTGCTCATAGTCAATGATCAGACCTTAAATAACCTTCACAATTATTTATTTCTAAAATTAGTTCTCCAGCTATATTCACCAATTTTTTATCATGTGACAGAACTGCAAACTTGTATGAGTTGCCCCAAATTCATTTTTTGCTTACTTTTGTCAGAATTCTAGACCTCTTTATATGTTCACTCTTTTTCCTCCAACCAGCCAACATCTTGTGAAATAATACAACTATTTGTCTGAAAGACTAAGTGAGAAACTCAAAGGAAACACACAGCCTCATGCAAGTGACTCTTCAAACACTAACCTTTCCCATCCCTGCTTAAGAGCCTACAGAGTAAGACTAGATAATGAACTAATGAGAAATTGTACCTAGTTCAATAGCTTACTGTCACCAGAAACAGGAGATTCCTTTCCTTCTTTCTTCATCCTTCCTCCTAGAACTGGCATTCATCAGACCCTTCTGTGAACTGATTTAGCTTAATAAGACAACAGAAAATTGACCAAGTGAAAAACACTCAATAGTTTTACGTGAGGTCAGTGAGTCAAGTTAGCTCGTGTTAAAAAACAACAAGCTACAGAATAGCGAGCGTAGGGAACAGGAACTAGTTAGGAGACAGAAACAAAGAGGCAGACGGCCAGAAGGAGGGGCAAGACTTTCTCCTTTCAGGAGCAGAGAGCTGTTACATCATGAGCTCAGATGCTCATGAAACCAAAGCCTTGAACAGACTTGGATACTTAGCTTTTAGACAAAGTGAAAGGAATCCCACCTTAAATGACTATGCAACACACTCATGAGAGATCAGACTAGCCAAGAACAGCAAGTGAATAAAAACAAAAATATATATATATATAATTTGAGAAACACAATAGCTTACCTTTCATTACTTAATAGTCCTCACTGTGACTCCATCGTCAGCAACTTGCAATAGCCAAAGTAATCAACTTTTTCAAAAATAGAAATAAAATAAATATTAGGGAAAAAATCAAAGGGAAACATGAAATCCCTTATTATAGGAATTTCTATAATTTGGAAACTGCTCAGATATTACAGCAGAGAATCCAGCGAAAATAAACACTCAGTACTTTTACATGTGTAAATGCAGAAATTTTGGAGAACATCTGGATGATTTATGTTATAGAACATACCAATCTCACTTCAACTGTTTTCACTTCTTCCACAGCACTGTTCAAAGTACATATTTCAACAACAATTAGGCATGCACTATTTCACAGTGTCCAATCCCTACATATGGCAAAGTATCAGCCTTTCTGTTTCTGTCTTACCTTAGAGATAGGATTATTTTTATTACACAAAGAACAACAAATAAGGCTATATCTTAACACAGGACGCAAATTTTTGCTTTAGTACATAACGAAACTGGCAACATTGCCAGATATACAACTGTTCAAACTAAAATTTTGAATGGCAGCTACATGTGATAACTCTTCTAGTTGGATTTGAGAACAGTTAGTCAGGTATCATATGCCAGTTATCTTTTTCACTCTATCATGCAAGAGTCCTTCAAATGCACATGAGAAACTTTTGCTTACTAGAATGTCATTCAAAGTTTTACTCAGGCATACAGATGTGATAGACTGTTGCTTGTCACGAATAGTTCTATACTCCACAACCAACATTCTTCTTCCATTTCTACCGACAAAGTATTTCACATTCGTACTGACTTAAAGACAGAGATATTCAGATAGGACACATCACATCTTAGTATATATATTCCACAGTGCTCCTGTAGGCAGAAACGTGATTATATGCACCTTACAGCATGTGCACAGACTTTATTTTGGATAACGAGCATGAGCACTTGTGTAAGTCACCGTGACATCTGAGCTGTTGACTTTCCTACGACATATGGCTAGAGAAGCCTTGTACTACACTAACATGTACTGCATACTAATATCAGCACTACACTACCATGGGGGTCAAACATCCTGAAGTGCAGGAAAACAATCAGCATCCTCCTGCACGTCAGTGAAGCCCACTGGTGGAAAAGAAAACATGAGAACATGCAAACACACCAGGGTCTTTCTGTCCCTGAACTTGGCTACTTGTGCTGGGCAACTCCCAAACTGAGGGGGTCACCAGCCCCCCACCAGCTCGCAGAGGCCGCAGGAGGCCTTTAGCACCAGACGGGACAGAAGACAAAGACGACCGCGCTGCGGGACCGGCTGGCGACCGCTCCTCACGGATTTACAGGTCTCTACTCCGCAACGACGGGCTCAAGGGAGGAGCGAGCAGGGCCGCAGCAGGAGCACAGGCCGAAGGGGCCTCCTAGCTCGCACACCGCGAGGTGAAATCCCAGGCAGGAAAGCCCCGGGCCGGCTGGCCGCCCTCCCTCTCCGCAGCGGCACCCGACCCCCCTGCCCCGCACCTGCTACCGCTCACCAGCCGCCAA